GGGTCCGGGTTTTTTTTCTTTTCTTTTTGTTTTTGGTTGTTGTTTTTTAAAACTTGGTTTTGTTTGTTTGTTTTGATTTTGTTGTTGTTTTGGGATTGTCAGGGTTTTTTTATTGCTAATATGGTGCGCTCATTTGTGAACTGGAAATTCGCTGAAATGCTTGATCAAAGATATCCTACTACAAGTCTATTCCTGCACCCTATTTTCGTTACAAATGTATATGGTTAGCAGGTGCTCTGGTGTGGTTTGTTCCATCTTTTCTACCAAACGTCTACCATCCTCACTTCTTTTCATTTTCTTTTCATGTTACTCTCTAGTAAAACCTCTAATCGTCTGCACTTACATGACTTATTAATGGTGCAAATTAATAATAATAATAATAATAATAATAATAGATAGCATTTGTATAGCGCATATCTCCACTCAACAGCAGGCTCTATGCGCTTTAAACTATATTATTACCCCAGCAGATCATAGAACACTCCGAAACATTTTCAGCTTCCCGGGAAGCATACAGTGCAAGCAGCTGATTAAGCGCTCAAACACTAACATACTGACAAGATCTTTCGCTGTCTATAGCCGGGTACCCATTCCCACCTGGGTGAAGTGAGGACAATTCATGTAAAGTGCCTTTCCCAAGGACACAACCTCGGGTCCCTGACGGGATTCGAACCCACGACCTTTCGGTTGCGAGTCCGAGAGCCTAACCACTGGGCCACCGACGCCACTGGGGATACCAGTGCTGTAATTATGCTGTAAACTCTTCATCATCAAGTACCAGATTTGCGACAGACATCGATGATCATGGCCTGGCATTCATTCCTTTCCCCGGATGCTCCTAAATGCTGTATTATCTCGATCTTTCTCCGTCACCCGTTTATTTAGGCTCTCTACATAAGTTACTCTGGGTCTACCCCTGCTTTGTTTGCCTTCAATTTTGCCGGTGAGAGCGAGCGAGATGTTCAAGGCTCATATGTCTATTCAAGCAAAACTCTTGTGTTGTTTGTTGGTTTGGTAAGTGTTTTACGCACGGCGCTCGCAACTACATAAGGTCAAATGATCGCTTTTAAGCACGAGGGGGCTTTCCCCCCAAAAACCTGTTTTGAGAAAATAGACTGTAAAGTTTTGGCCCTCTGGTCAGTTTCTTTAAAAGACAAGGAGAGTTTTCTCTATAACCAAACAAATATACACACCAATGAAACCAAATTTCTCTTATAGGTAGAGCAATGCCCACTTTTGTTGTAGGTCAAGATTTCTGGAAACCCCAAAATCTGGATTAGCCCGCCTGCCCTTAAAAGTGACCATTAATAAACGCGCAGACTAAAACTGCGACAATGTTGTTTTCTTTCCCGCCACTCCCAGGTGCCTTCCTGATTCCGTTCATCACCACAGCGGTGTTTGCCGGGATCCCAATGTACTTCATGGAGCTTGCCCTGGGTCAGTGGCTCAGTGTGGGCGGTCTGGGCATCTGGAAGATCGCGCCCATCTGGAAGGGTAAGTCACAGGCAAGACGACGTGGGTACGGTGCTCGGGTGGGAAGGTTGGTTTTTTTTTTTGGGGGGGGGGTTGTTTGTTTGTTGTTTTGTTGTTGTTGTTTGCTGGGGTTTCTTGATGTTTTTTTGTGTTTTTTTTGGGGGAGGGGGTTTGTTTGTTTGATTGTTTAGTATAGGGTTTTACGGCGCTCGCAACTGCATAAGGTCATATGAGCGCGCGGGACACACCTAATACTTTTTCGTTGGTAGGAAATTTTGAATTTTGCCCGGGTGGCGGCCGAAGCCTACTCTTATCGATTTTAGACCACCAAGGGATCTTTAACGTGCGCAACTTGCACACAGGCCCTCCGAGATTTTTCGCCCTTGTCCGGGAAGGCTAGGTGTAGATCTTTCCTACCAGAAGATCAGGGGTGTGGCAGAAAGACAGCAGTTAGGAGGAGCCAAGGAGTAGCGGTAGAAAGGCTGCAGAAAGAGTCAGGAGCCCAGAGGAGGGGGCAAAGGAGGTGAGGGGGTGGGGGTAGAAAGTGGAAATGAAAGCAGACAACAGATCATTGTTAGAGATCAGGAAAGGATGTGAAAGGAGACAATTTTAGAGAAGAAAAATTTGTGGTCGCTACCCGGAATCGAACCCGGGACCTTTGAATGAGAGGCCAACACCTTAACCTCTAGGCCACGAGAGCCCCCGGAGGGGGTTTGCTTTGTTTGTTTTTGTTGTTGTTGTTGTTGTTTGTGTTGTTGGGTTTTGTTTTGTTGTTTTTTTATCGTTTTTTGGGGGGAGGGGGATTTTTGTTTTGTTTTTGTTTTGTTTTAATATACCCAGTGTCACGGTTTCTTGGGATCTGAGGGCAGACGCTTGTTTCATTGTTTCACCATTTCATCATTTCACCAATACACTATTAACATTTCATCATTTTGCTATATCATCATTTTACCATTTCACCATTTCACCACTTCACCAATTCACCATAATTTCACCATAAATTCACCACCACTATGTTATGTCCTCCCTCCCCTCCCCCTCCCAGGTGTCGGGTACGCGGCGGCCATCATGGCTTTCTGGCTGAACACGTACTACATCGTGATCCTAGCCTGGACCGTGTTCTATCTGGTCCACTCGTTCACCGCCGTGCTGCCCTGGGCCGAGTGTGGTCACGCCTGGAACACGCCACGGTGTATGAATGTCTTCCAGAGGGACAAGCTGCCCTTCAACTGCACCAACGGGACTACGTGGTTTGATGTAAGTATGTACTGTCGCTTCAATTGTAACAACGATACTACGTGGTTTGATGTAAGTACTTTCCCTTCACCTGGTTTGATGTAAGTACTTTCCCTTCAATTGTAACAACGGAACTACGTGGTTTGATGTAAGTATGTATTTTCCCTTCAACTGCACCAATGGGACTACGTGGTTTGATGGATGTACTTTCCCTTCAATTGTAACAACGGGACTACGTGGTTTGATGTAAGAACTTTCCCTTCAATTGTAACAACGGAACTATGTGGTTTGATGTAAGTAATAATAATTATAAATAATAAATAACATTTGTATAGCGCATAACCACGCTCGACTTCAAGCTCTATGCGCTTTACACTATATTTTTACCCCAGCAGACCATAGAAAACTCAGGAGAATTCTCAGCTTCCCTGGAAGCATACAGTTCAAGCAGCTGGTTAAGGGCTCAAACACTAACAAACTCACAAGATCTTTCACTGTCTATAGCTGGGTACTCATTCCCACCTGGTTGAAGTGAGGAAAACTTGTGTAAAGTGCCTTTCCAAGGACACAACGTCGGGTCCCTGACAGGATTCGAACCCACGACCTTACGTTTGCGAGTCCGAGAGCCTAACCACTAGGCCACAGACGCCACTTTTCCTTCAATTGTAATAACGGAACTTTGTGGTTTGATGTAGGTACTTTCCCTTTAATTGTAACAATGGGACTACGTGGTTTGATTTAAGTACTTTCCCTTCAATTGTAATAACGGACCTACTTGGTTTGATGTAAGTATGAACTTTTATAACAATGGGACTACGTGGTTTGATTTAAGTACTTTCCCTTCAATTGTAACAACGGAACTACGTGGTTTGATTTAAGTACTTTCCCTTCAATTGTAACAACGGAACTACGTGGTTTGATTTAAGTACTTTCCCTTCAATTGTAACAACGGAACTACGTGGTTTGATTTAAGTACTTTCCCTTCAATTGTAACAACGGAACTACTTGGTTTGATGTAAGTATGTATTTTCCCTTCAACTGCACCAATGGGACTACGTGGTTTGACGTAACTGTTTCGCTACTGCGTGAGTAGGGTTTGTTCCATAGATTTGAACTTCTAGATCACAAACTGTCTTTGCCTCAATGACGGGCTCCCTAGTGAACCGGAAATACCTCACGGTGCACAGACAGAATGTTCAAAAGTTACATTGTGAAACCAGGTTCTTTTTCCAAAATTGGGAGACGTAAGAAACAATAATTGACAAACGCTCAAACATTCTGAGAAAGGTGTCAATTTTTTGTGCTTACAAGGGGGGGGGGGGGGTTCAAGTAGTCTTTGGTCTAAATATAAAGGAATAAAGATAGAACTTTGTATCTTGGCACACATACTTTCATTTTTCGACATGGTCACCTCACAGAGTAATACATTTCTGTCCCCTATCTTTGACCTTCAAAAGTTTTTGAGAGTAAAATGACCTAGCATGGGCCCCTAACCAGTCTTCAACAGCTTCAATGGCGTCATCGTTGTCTTGGAAACGTTTTTGTGTGTGTTTTTTACGATTAATACACAAAAAGTTCTGAGGGGGCTAGGTCTGGTGAATATGATGGATGTGGCAGGATTTCAAAGCCGCACTGTTCTGCTGTCTGGACTGCTTGTTGTGCCCTGTGCACAGGGGCGTTGTCATGCAGTAGGGGGATCCCATTACGGAGTTTTCCACGCCTTTTCCTCACCATTTCGGACCGCAATTTTATCAGCACACCCCAGTAGTAGTCTCCTTGACTGTTTTTCCTTTTTTTAGGTAGTCAGTCATGATGATGCCTTCACAATCCCAGAAACACGACAGCATGACCTTTCCACTTGACGGTGTCACCTTTGCCTTCTTTGGGGAGGGAGAAGAAGGGGTTTTCCATTGCATGCAAGACATATTTTTGTTCTGGATCAAAATGATAAAACCCACGTTTCATCCATAGTCACCATGTTTTTAAAGATATTTGTGTCACTGGACTCAATTCGAAGGAGAGTTTTGCAGAACTCAACCCTCTGCTTCTTTTGCTCACTTATCAAAAGGCGGGGGTACCCGCCACGAAGACACCTTATTCATGTTAAGATGGTCATGGAAAATCGTTTCAATTGACCCCACACTGATTCCGGTTTCGCTTGTCAACTGTTTAACAGTTATACGTCGGTCTTGTAAAATCAGTTTCTTCACTATGGATACATTCTCTTAGGTTACCCATAAGATGAGCGCCCTTCAGGATCTTCATCCATCACCAACATGAATCCAGATTTGAATTTGAATTTTCTTATCCAGTATGTCACAGTATTATAACGAGGACATTAATTGTCACCATTATCTTGGACCATTTCCTAAAAAATGTCTGAAGGGGATTTTCCTTGTAAGTGTTAAAAAACTGAGAAGTGAGCGAGACTCAACAGGCTCCATGGCACAGCTTCAGAAAGGAAAAACAAACGTTTTGTGCATGGTTTCATTGAACACGCTGACGGAAGTGCGGTTAAACATTCGTGGCGCAACTTATTGTCAAATATCTCCTCAACAATCGAGCATAAACTCTCCAGCGTTTGCACAAAGACGTGTATCAATTTGTCTTAACAGATCCATATTTTTGTAAATACCTGTTTGCTCTATTCTAGAAAATGCCTTAATGAATACCCCCCAAAAAATCATAGTGGGTGGTTTCTACAGATTTTAAAAGGTTTACAGCTGGGATAATATCGCTTTTAAAAGCAAGTCTGTCATTTTTTCCCCTAATAGTGAGAGTATCTTTATTGAATGTATGTTTTGAAAACTTTTAGTGCAAAAAAGTGTTCACTATAAAATGTATTTCTTGTAACTAGTTTTGCAACAAAAATGTGTCATTGGTAAGCTGTGACGTAAGCCATATGCGTAAGCAAAAGGTGTGTGAGAAGTGGGAAGTGCTGTGAACAATTATTCCATTTTCCGAGTGAGGGAGATTAAAATTTGTAGTATTTTATATAAATTAATGAAGAAAAGTTTTTTAATCTAGCCTCAATTTTTTGGGGGGAAAATATTATTCAGTTGAGACAAATTGATACATACTGCTGTGCAAAGTGTGGGAACACTGATTCAACCTTTGAAAAGATATTTGAGGATAAGGTGCGCCACGAATGTTTTAGAAATTGTCTAAAGGCTAGCGAAATTTCATCACTCTGCAGTGATTCCTTCATACCCACACCAAAGACCTATTGACCCCCCCCCCCCCCCCCCCTCGTAAATTGCTATTTTTGCTTTGCAAAACTTTCGCTAAAAAATGCTTCTGTGATTATAGATGTTTCATGCCTCATTGATACACTGAGTCGAGCTGTCTGGGACAACTCTAGCTAAGAGAAAATAATGTCTCAGCAGTAGAGCTGGGCGAAGAGTCGATTCCGGAACCGATTCCCGCGATTAATACTAAGGAAGTTAAGTTCCGTCTCCTTTTTACGTAGACCAACGGTTGCCAATTATTTTTATCATTAAAATCTTCTTTTTGAAAAAGAATTTATTTTTGGGAAAAAAAAGAAGTTGATGCTTCGTAGTGTTCCGAAATCAAGGTTATCCTAAATCCTGAAGATGTTCGGCACCAACCAGTTAACCACAGGGGGGAAAATCACATCATTAGAAAGTAAATAATTGGGTTCGGAGTCGATTCCTACGATTCCTAGCTTTCATAATCGGGAACCTAGCCGCCCAGCACTACTCAGCAGGATTCACGTGTCCTGCTTGCGACATTGGATCACCTAACTGCTAAATCATAGACAATGGCGTTCTACCTGTATCTTTATTTTAAGTTTTACTAAGCCGCAAAACGAAAAAACAGCATTCCATGTACTAACTGGTCGTTTTTTGAGGACAAGTGGGCTAACCCAGATTTCGGGGGTTTCCAGAAATCTCGACCTTCACTAAAAGTGGGCATTACCCTACCTATAGGAGAAGTTTGGTTTCTTTGGTGTGTATATTTATAATGTTATAGAGAAAACTCTTCTTGTTTTTTAAATAGACTGAATAAGGATCCAAAAACTTTACCTTCGATTTTCTCTAAACCTCTAAACAGCATTTTGCGGGATAGTCCTCTTGTGCTTAAAAGCGAACAATTGAGCGACGAAGTAAACACCTCTGAAACCCCCTGACCTCTGCCCCACAGGTCAATGTGACGTCATCGCTCAACGCCAGCGTCATCCGGTCCATATACCCAGACTTCAACTGTACCCAGGATTATGACGGACACAAGTTTGTCTCCCCTGTAGAAGAGTTCTGGTTGTAAGTGTTGTTTTAGTTTAAGTCAGAGTTTTACGGCACTTGCGACACAAATAGGTTATATTGTTTGTTTTGTTTTGGTAAAGTGTTTTACGGCGCTCGCAACTGCATAAGATCATATGAGCGCGCAGGACACACCTAATATTTTCAGTTGGTAGGACATTTTGAATTTTGCCCGGGTGGCGGCCGAAGCCTACTCTTATAGATTTTAGACCACCAAGGGATCTTCAACGTGCGCTACTTGCACGCGGGCCCTCCGAGATGTTTTCGCCCTTGTCCGAGAAGGCTAGGTGTAGATCTTTCCTACCAGAAGATCAGGGGTGTGGCTGAAAGACAGCAGTAAGAAGAAGCGAAGGAGTAGCAGTAGAAAGGCTGCAGAAAGAATCAGGAGCCCAAAGGAAGGGGCAAAGGAGGTGTGGGGGTGGGGGCAGAAGGAGGAGACGAAAGCAGACAACAGAACATTGCTAGAGAGCAGGAAATGAGGTGAAAGGAGACAAATTTAGAGAAGAAAATGTTTCGGTCGCTACCCGGATTCGAACCAGGGACCTTTTGAGGCCAACACCTTAACCTCTAGGCCACGAGAGCCCCCACAAATAGGTTATATTACATGCCGGAGAGGTGATGCTAGAGAGTGACATACAAAGAAAGGAAGGAGGAGAAGTAAAGACGATAGTCGTTTGCTAGGAAAGAAGGAGCAAGCCACACTTGAGCACTCGCCAACAACCCATCTGTTAGTGTTGCTACTGTCTTAGATCTCCAAAACATGTGTTGCAACTATGCTGAAATGTTTAATCTCTGTATGTCTTACTTATACAAGGCGGGAGTTTCCTATTTCTTCGAATATGTGGGATAGTTCTGCTTGTCAGGGTTTATTTATTTATTTATTCATTTAATCTAATTATTTATTTGAAATGTCTTTATTTAATTATCTATGTATCT